TAGTTATATTTATTTTTTAAATTTGCCAATAAAAGGAAAAGACCCAACAAGAAAAGAAATAGCTGAAGATGTTATCAAATGGAAAAACATACTATCCTCATGGCTGGGAAGAAACAACATTGTTAAAATGTCTATACTTCCCAAAGCAATATGAAAATTTAATGCAATCCCTGTTAAAGCATCTCTGTCATTCTTTAAAGATCTGGAAAAATTAGTACTTCTTTTTAATGGAATCAGAAAAAAACCTCTAATTGCCAAGACATTACTCAGAAAGAAAAACAAATCAAGAGTAATCACGGTACCAGACTTCAGACTATACTATAAATCTACAGTGATCCAAATAGCATGGTACTGGCACAAAAATAGAGAGGTGGATATATGGAACAAAATAGAGAAGCAACAGATGAACCCAGGCACTTATTGTCATTAGATCTTTGATATGCCCATCAAAAATATAAGTTGGGGGAAAAACTCCCTATTTAACAAATGGTGCTGGGTGAACTGGCTGGCGACTTGTAGAAGACTGAAACTAGATCCACACCTTTCACCTTTCATTAACAAAAATTGATTCTCACTGGATAAAAGATTTAAACTTAAGAGATTAAACTACAAAAATTCTTGGAGAGAGTTCAGGAGAAACACTTGAAGAAATTGGCCTGGGAGAATTCTTTATGAGGAGGAACCCCCTGGGCAATTGAAACAATACCAAAAATACATTTCTGGGACCTGATAAAGCTAAAAGGCTTCTGCACAGCCAAGAACACAGTAAGCAAAGGAAGCAGACAGCCCTCAAAATGGGAGAGGATATTTTCAGGTTATGTTTCTGACATAGGTTTGATAACCAGAATCCACAGAGAACTCAAACTTATTAAGAAAAGAACAAATGATCCCATTTCATTGTGGGCAAGAGACTACTTGAAAAGAATCTTCACTGAAGAAGACAAGCACATGGCCTACAGACACATGAAAAAAATGCTCATCATCTTTCATCATCAGAGAAATGCAAACCCAAACCACTTTGAGATATCATCTAACACCAGTAAGAATAGCCCACTTCACAAAATCCCCAAAACTACAGATGTTGGTGTGGATGTGGAAAAAAGGGAACACTTCTGCACTGTTTATGGGAATGCAAGCTAATAGATTCCTTTTGGAAAGAAGTTTGGAGAACACTCAGGGATCTAAAAGTAGACCTGCCATTTGACCCTGCAATTTCTTTACTAGGTGTATATCCAAAAGACCAAAAATTGGTATGTAACAAAGATATTTGCACCAGATTGTTCCTTGCAGCTCAATTTATAATTGCCAAGTCTTGGAAGAAGCCCAAGTGTCATTAACCCATGAATGGATTAATAAATTGTGGTATGTATACCTATTGTGAATACTATGCAGCCTTAAAAAAAGATGAAGATTTTTACCTCCTTTATGGTAAAATGGATGGAGCTGGAACATATTATTCTTAGTAAAGTATCTCAAGAATGGAAGAAAAAGTATCCAATGTGATCAGAACTTTTATGAAACCAACTTATAATCATTCGCACTTTCATATATGAAAGATAAATCACAACTGTAGCCCAGGACATAGGCGGGAAGAGGAGGAGGATGGGAGGGGAGGGGGAAAGTTTGTTGGAGGGAGGGTAAATGATGGGACCACACCATTGCAAGGGTAGATGTCATATCTACTAAGTATAGAATATAAATGTCTTACACAACAATTAATTAAATGAGGTGAAACCTTATATTAACTAATTTGATCTAAGCATTTCAAATTGTATATAAAATAAGCACATTGTATCCCATATATGCATTAATGTATACATGGTCTATGTGTATATGACTTGATAAAATAAAATTAAATAAAAAATCAGTATGTGAGGTAATGAATATGTTACTTAGCTAGATGTAATTATTCCAAAATGTGTATGTATATTATATATACATCAAAACTTTACATTGTATATCATAAATATATAATTTTTATCTATTAATTATAGATAATTGAAAATAAAAATTTTAACGAATAATTTCTTCTATGCCTGAATTTGCTAAAAGAGTATACTTTAAATGTTCCCAGATACACAAAAAAGGTAACTATTTCTTTTCTTAGAGTTTCATAGTTCTCTTTATAGAGATCTTTCATGTCCTTTGTTAGTAAACTTCCAAATATTTCATCTTCTTTGGCACTACTGTAAATGGAATAGAGTTCTTGACTATTTTTTCAGCTTGATTATTGTTGGTTTATATAAAGGCTACCAACTTTGGGGTGTTGGTTTTGTAACCTGAGACACGACTATATTCCTTCATTACTTCGAAAAGTTTTTTAGTAGAATCCCTGGTGTTTTCCAGGTATACAATCATATCTGTGAAGAGTGAAAGTTTGATCTCTTCTTATCCTATGTGAATACCCTTGATTGCCTTTTATTCCCTAACTGTGATGGCTAAAAATTCCATTACAGTGTTAAAGAGCAATGGAGACAATGGACAAGCTTGCCTGGTTCCTGATCTGAGTGGAAATGATTTCAATTTAGCTTCATTCAATACAATATTGGCTGTGGGTTTACTGTAGATGGCCTCTATCAATTTGAGAAATGTACCTTCTATGCCAATTTTCTTAAGTATTCTGATCATAAAGCGATGCTGGATATTATCAAAAGCTTTTTCTGCATCAATTGAGAGTATCATATGGTCTTTGTTTTTAATTTGTTTATGTGACAAATTATGATTATAGATTTATGTATGTTGAACCAGAATTGAGATCCTG